TATATATATATATATATATATATATATATGGAGTACAAATTTTAAAGGGTACAGTTTAAACACTGAAGACAAAATATATTTAAATATTTTCAGACAATCTTCTGTATTTCATTGACGAATCCCAGAATTGAGCGAAGTGTATCTTGGGTAGTGACTTATGGAAAACAATAGATAGACCTGAAATGCTACACATCTTTGGTTTTGAATTCGCAATGGTCAAACTAAGAGGAATGTGGAAAACACATCAGCGGTTTGCATGATTTTTAACACTAATTTTAGGGCTATTAATTTCTGACGCTTTGCCAACTTTGAGCGTTTAAATCGTCTCTTTTCCTTCATACATTGTTGTATAATATTCCACCGTCTTGTATATCTATATTTTATTATTGCACTGCTTGCTTTTGTATAACTTATCATTTGAAATGTACGTACGACAACAGTAACATTTAACCACTGCGAAAGGCAGATGCCAAAACATTGGATACAAGTTAATATTTTCTTCTACATTTTATACTCGTGATATATATATATAAAAATATTTGATTACATTTGCTGAGATATGATTTAGTGTTAACTCCGGCCAGCAGAGGGCTTGACAGTTTCATACTTTTCCAGTTTAATAAGCATATGCTGTGTCTTATAACACCAAAAAGGTGTGTTCAAAGGAAATTATATGTTGTGTGAACTATCAGGTCTTCATTTAAAAGTTCGAAAGCTATAAAAACTCGGCAGATGACAAGAAAAAATCAAGCTCTCTACCAATCACAGCAGAGTAACGACTAATTTGTGAAGACAAATCACTTATATAATTTAAAGTTAACACACAATACTATAAACATAAGAAACACACTAGTCCGAGGAAGAGCTCGAGTTATATTGTATTTTTTGTATTGTAAGGATTTATTTTTTGGTCCTACGTGCTTTACGAAAGAATACAATGCATACAATCAAGTTTTACTTCTGACAGATAGAAAGTTATAATTATCGACGTTGAACATAATATTTTCTTCAGAAGATAGTTTAATGATATCCGTGAAATACGAAACAAATTTTTTTTTTGAAACAAAGTAATATCTTTTAGCGTGCAAATCAATCACTACGGAGAAGTATTCATATCTTAAATGCAACAGAGGGGAGGGGGTCATCTAACAGTGAATGATGCACATGCGCAAAAAGGTACCATAATACTGATAACGGTAAATAAACAAACAATTATGACACTTTCCGACTACTGTAATAACTTAGAAAAAAAAACAGAAGTAAAATGAAACTTAGAATAAATCAAGTGAATTACAATTCATTTAATAAAAGGAATATGGCTATAAAACAAATCTAAATTTTAGGTGTATTTCATTTGGGTAAAAGCACAAGCACTACATTTCAAATCTAAATTTGAGATACCGTTGATTAATTACGTATCAAAACATCCAAATAGAAGAATATAATCACCATATAAATGGCTACTTACTGACAGATTTTCTTCAGTTGGTAATTGTCCAAATCGTGTGGTTTTCCAGTTCTCTAGGATCAATAAACCAGCATATATCTTCCCAACTGTGAGGTTTCCTTCCCGGAGAACTGTTTAGTCAGAGGATGATGATGATTGACGAAGGAGACAAAGTTGAAATTTAAAATTATAAATTTAGATGTTAAAAAGAAATAGTAGTAAAAATTGGGTAGCAATTACGTGAGGTGTAAGTGAAAAACAAATGCAAATAAAAAAAAATGAGGTTAGTAAGGAGAAAAGGAACAATGAAGAAGTGGAATCTAATATACATACAAAACAAAAGCAATCAGAGAGGAACTGTATACCCTCGTCCCGCTGCTATTTTTCGAGATTGCATGCCCTCGTTCCGCTGCTATTTTTCGAGATTGCATGCCCTCGTTCCGCTGCTCCTTTTCGATATTGCATGCCCTCGTTCCGCTGCTCCTTTTCAAGATTGCATTCCGTCGTCCCGCTGCTCCTTTTTGAGATTGTATTCCGTCGTCCCGCTGCTCTATTTTGAGATTGTATACCTTCGTCCCGCTGCTCCTTTTCGAGATTGCATGCGTTTATATTGGATAACGTCAAATTTCACCTTCGAAAACCCAGAAAGTATTTCTCAGATCCAGAACGATCAACGATCCGGATACTTTTTTTAATGTGATGAGGAGTTTCAACCTCACTGTGCCCAGGATATATGGTACCAATCCAATCACACTTTACAGATTTATTAACTCAAGACCGCGAAAGTGCCCTAACTCTCCATTATAAAAAAAATAATGCTTCAAAGTGATCCAGAATTGGAGCTGTGCCAAATTTGGATAGAACTGTTCCATACTGACTCCCAATCTTGTATAAAATATTCGTGGACATTGTTCTATTAGTTTTTCAGATACGCGCACGGAAACACGGATAGACAGACAGACACACACGCACCCGACTGCAATACCCCCCCCCCCTCCGGTGCGATGGTAAAACCAGATGTTAAAATGTAATAAGAAGTTAGATGAATATCTATGAATGAAGAAGTTAGGACAAGATAAAATAAGAAATAATGTAAAGAAGTATGAACATGAAACCAATCCAGATAACTGAAGTGAGTAAAGTGAAGAAATGCAATATTAAGAAATAAAACAGTGTACGATCAAAAGAAGGGATAGAAGGACACAAAATGGTAAAACAGTGAAGAGGGAGCTTAAAATTTAAATACTAAGAACGAAAGAAAGATAGAAAAGGGCAAGACAATACGGAGAAATTATGAGTGTAACAAAAAGCAGAAACAGGTAAAACAACAAGGAGAGAACTTATATTAATGTAAATAAATGAACGACCTATATCTTCAGAATGTGTCTTTATTGACTTGATATTTACAGCTATTACAGCTTCGTAAAGAGCTATCGATTAGTGAACTTGTAGGTTATTGATATCTTCTGAAGAAGCTGTGATAGTGAACTTGTAGGTTATCGATAGCTTCTGAAGAAGCTGTGATAGTAAACTACTGAGCCAATAAAGATATATTCTGGACATACTGGTCGTTAATTTGTATGTACCAGTAGAAATGTATCATAATAAACTCCAGTTTGCTTTAAAGAAAGTTATGAACAAGGAGAGAAGATGTGTGCAACAAGAGGCAGAAAAGACAGGTTTGTTTGTTTGTTATGGATTTCGCGCAAAGCTACACGAGGGCTACGTGCACTAGCTGTCCCTAATTTAACAATGTAAGACTAGAGGGAAGACAGCTAGTCATCACCACCCACTGCCAACTCTTTTACCAGCGAATAGTGGGATTGACTGTCACATTGTAACGCCCCCACGGCTGAAAGGGCGAGCATGTTTGGTGTGAGGGGGATTCACACCCGCGACCCACAGATTGCGAGTCGAGCGCCCTAACCAGGCCATGCCGGCCCGAAAAGAGAGGAAAGGGCAAAACAACAAGGAAGGAAGGTGTGTGAAACAAGAAGCAGAAAAGATAGGAATGGGCAAAATAACAAGGCAAAACAGAGAAAAACATTAGAAGAGACAATGAAGAAAGACACTGCAGAGTAAAATCCAAAGAAAATGGCATACAAGAATATGACTAAATAGTAAAAAAAATCACTTACGATAAAGAATGCTGATAAAAGTTAGGCATTATGTATTTCTTTTTTGATTAATTCAAGTAATTATTGAATTATTACTTAGTATTCTGAAAAAGGTTTATGGTAAATTCGTACTAAATTTCAAACATTTTATTCAGTTTGCATGTGAGAAGTGTATCTATTAAATCAATTATTTTAGATATTAAAATGAACTACTATTTGAGTTCCTTCTTAATTTGGACTCGTTATATCCAATAATAGTTTTTCATTATATGCAGATAAATTATCAAAACACAGAGCGTACGATCACATAAAAATAAGACTCTTAAAGTTCATCAAACAATGTTCTAAAAATCCGATATCGAATATTCAACGGCTTTTTCTAGGGTGGTAATGAAAAACATTTTATCAAAGCCTACCATCGTCTTGTGGTAAAATCCTATCCAGTAGTTTCTTTGCTTGAAAAGGCCATATTTTTCGAATTGTTTCCCTGAGTTCTCTGTCTGCTAAGTCCATTTCGTCAGCTAAACATATGACAAGAAAACGACCAACATAAACAATTGGAATTCTAATGAAGGAAATATATTACTATCTGCATACTGCACAAAAAATATTAGTTGAATGAGATTATCATATATAAAGATCTAGCTTTGAATGAAATAAATTGTCATTAACACCAACTGTATTTTGGGAGAGTTATCCCAAGACAAACAACTTGGTATTTTCCTAAACAGCATCTTATGCAACACATAAGCTAAGCGTCTAGTTCAGTTGTCTTTTCGGCTCGGGCATCGTTATCCTTAATTTATAACTGCTGAACAAACAGAGAGCAAACAGTCAGCAACATCTGCCACTATGCAACAAATCTTAACCAAAATAGTGTGATTGGCTGTCACATTTATAACTCACTCAAAGCTGAAAGTGTGTACCGTGTTCTGAGGCATGTCGCAGTTCGAGCCGTGGACCTTTTAACTTGCATCCCGGCATTAAGAGTGCGTATATTAGATTCTGTATGTGATCTAATAGAAATACAACAGGCGAAAGATTCGTTCTTTATTCTTAGTTTTCGTTGTAAGATATTATACCTAATATGATCCTAAGTTCATGGACATGACTAAGGCTCCTCTTACACGTACAGCTTGATGGGGTGTTTTTATTATTGCTCATACTGTGCATGTAATGTTTTTTGTAGCGTAAAAACTCTTCTTACGAACTAAACATCTACATAGGTATTTTCCCCGGACACACACAAATAGATGATAGACGGATTTAGTCTCTGAAATGCTGAAATCGTTGAATGAGAACTCACGATATTTACAAGTTATCAACTATTTTCCAAACATTAAAAAACAAACTCACAACACTGTTAAATGTATAAAAATTAAAACCGGGTATTACTGGTAAATAGCTTTTTTAAAACTTTTATTTACATAAAACATAAGTACTTGTGTATGGAAGCACATTATATTAATATAATTGTCAACGGACAAACAACGATTTATAAGCATAATGATGCAGTTTATTTTTTGGGGGTAACATTGTATGTTTCAACAGAATATTGGTCTGTCTTCTTCATATAGTATGTTACCCCAAAAAAATAAATTGCATCGTTATGCTTCTAAATCATTGTTTGTCAGCTTACTAGCAAAACATAAGTAGTGTGCTTTGTGAATATTATTAACACAAAACTACGCTACGCACTATATACAATAAACTACCGTGTACTTACCAGGTCTCATTTTTATGCTAAGATTTTCTCGAATCAAAGCAAACAGGGTCGTTGTGAAATTTACCGTTCCCGCTTCTTTTGTAATAGGCATGTTCATACGGATTAATTTCTGTAGAAAATAGAGGAAAAATTATTCTAACTAAATTATTAGCAATAGTGACCAGAAAAGAGCTAACAAAACCCGCGTTGATAAAAACTTCTTTTTCTAGCCTTGAAGTTACAGTTTGTTTGTAGTTAAGCACAAAGCTACACAATGGGCTATCTGCGCTCTGTCCACCACAGGTATCGAAACCCGGATGCTAGCGTTGTAAGCCCGTAGATATACCGCTATGCCACTGAGGAAGGGGGGAGGGGAGAGCTGAAGTTATAGAAAATTCACGAATGGCAAAAAATAGTTAATTTCTAGACATTATTTTTTAACATTATCGACTGTTTTTCCAGTCTTTTTCAATTATTATACTTTCGTTTTTTACGCTCATCTGGTACGTAAAATCAAATATATCATTTGCTAATTTTTTGTTCAATTTGTGATTTTATGAAACAGAAGCTGACGTGTCCCAATTTCTGTTTACCCATATCAAAGTTAATGAATATTTTTTACCAATTCCTAAAGAATCTCTTAATTACGTCTATCTAATCTACGTCTTCTTGTATAACTTAAGCTAACCTTGTGATAAGAATGAATAAATTGTACAAACAATTCCATTAAGCAGTTACACACAATGTTTTTGAGTCAGATGAACTGCTGTATTTGTATTTCAGAATTTCGCTCAAAGCCACACAAGAGTTATCTGCGCTAATCTTCCCTAATTCTGAACTGTCAGACTAGAGGAAAGACAGATAGCCAACAGTCCCCACCGCCAGCCCCTCAGTTAACCTAATCGAATAGTGGGCAACACACACACTAACAATATTAAGTGTTATTAATACTAGAAATAAACGACCCCATAACACTAAAATGTAGTCTTTTATTTAATTAGACACTCATCGTTTCGCTTTACAGCTTCTTTGGGTTTATTTAATTATACGCTTAACGCCTTTAACGTTTCTCTTTACAGCTTCTTTGGGAGCGTTCACTACAACACAAACTTCCTTACTGGTAAAACAATTAGAAGATGTTACTCTAATGTAATATAGTCATAAACTAGTATTCTAAAGTTAACTAAAGGTAAGGTGTAATGATGAAAGCTGAGATTCTATTCAAACACAAAGCTCTTGACAGACAGACAAAGTGGGGAAACCAGTAATGTAGAGATTTTATTCTCTATGTAAAGTCGAGACGGTTTAATCTGCTATGTGATCATTAGCCGGATCAAGTGATATATCAAGTTCTATCCCTATCTTGTTTGGTTCATTTATATGTAAGGTCGAGACGGTTTAATCTGCTATGTGATCATTAGCCGGATCAAGTGATATATCAAGTTCTATCCCTATCTTGTTTGGTTCATTTTTTTCAATTTCGGTAGCCAGCCCTATATAGCTTTGTTATTTAACGATAAATTTCTACCTAATATTTTTTTAACACTATTTTTACATGGTACTTTAAAGAACTATGGAAAAATGTTACTTATTTCTTATGATAAATGGCTTTTGATACACCACACATGTACTTACTTTGTACGCCAATCTATATGGACATTTGTTGCCGAATCCCAGGGGAGGATCCATGTTTCGGAGCATGTCGTACATCTGTGTGTAGTGAACATAGCCGCTGGAAAATATGTTATCACGAAGTGTTAAATCGGATGTAAGTTTGAAAAATTTGGAATTTTGCCAACAGCAAAGGGTCATTAATTTAAACTGTCTGCTTAGATTTTTGAAGATACAATGAACACTTTTTCGCTATGCATGTAAATATATCTCCAAGAAAAAAAAAATCTGTTAACGTGTGAAAATAATCTTATGAATTATAAAATCTAAATCATAACAGTGGATAATTTTTATATAAATTCAGTACGAAAACGTTTAATTCGTTAAAAATGTGTTGGAATATATATTGCTATTGAAAAAAACAACAAAAAAAACCAGAATAACATAGAAAAAACTTACGTTGCACTAGGGTCGTATTCTGCCCAAACTCGAATGAATTCGTCGAGATGGTGAGCGCCCAAGATAGACGAGTCTCTAGTTAGGTAATCAAAGTTATCCATGATCACGGCGACGAAGAGATTAAGCATCTGTAAAACCGAACAAAATAGAGCAGTTCCTTTTAAGTTTTTACAAATGTAGACTGTAGTATTCAGCCTGAAAGTTATGTGCTTTGGTGGTTTCGGAATGTTAGCGCAAAGCTGCACAAAGGACTATCTGCTTATGGCCGTATTGATTTTTGTTGTGTCTGTAGTTAAGGCCAAAGTTAGATAAAGGACTATCTGCTTATAGCCGTCTTGAATGTCGTTCTGTTTGTAGTTAAGGCCAAAGAACTATCTGCTTGTGGCCGTCTTGATATTTGTTGTGTTTGTAGTTAAGGCCAAAGAACTATCTGCTCATGGCCATTTTGATTTTTGTTGTGTTTGAAGTTAAAGCCAAAGAACTATCTGCTTATGGCCGTCTTGATTTTTGTTGTGTTTGTAGTTAAGGCCAAAGAACTATCTGCTTATGGCCAGTCTTGATTGTCGTTGTGATTTGTAGTTAAGGCCAAAGAACTATCTGCTTATGACCGTCTTGATTTTTGTAGCGTTTGTAGTTAAGGCCAAATAACTATTTGCTTATGGCCGTCTTGATTGTCGTTGTGTTTGTAGTTAAGGCCAAAGAACTATCTGCTTATGGCCGTCTTGATTTTTGTTGTGTTTGTAGTTAAGGCCAAATAACTATTTGCTTATGGCCGTCTTGATTTTTGTTGTGTTTGTAGTTAAGGCCAAAGAACTATCTGCTTATGGCCGTCTTGATTTTTGTTGTGTTTGTAGTTAAGGCCAAAGAACTATCTGCTTATGACCGTCTTAATTTTTGTTGTGTTTGTAGTTAAAACCAAAGAACTATCTGTTTATAGCCGTCTTGATTTTTGTTGTGTTTGTAGTTAAGGCCAAAGAACTATCTGCTTATGGCCGTCTTGATTTTTGTTGTGTTTGTAGTTAAG